AACAAGACACTTTCTCCTTAACAACAACAAAAACACTGCCAGCCATTACCTAGTACAATGATTTCCTTTCTCTATAGGTTAAGGTTAAAAAAAAAAGATGAGGTGAGATGACAGCCTATTAGTAACTAGTTATAGCTGGTTACCTTCACACCTAAAACTATATAGATGATGTCCTGGAAACTGGCTAAAGTATTTATTTTCTCCTTTTTCTCATAGCTACCCCCAAATTCCTTTTATATAAAATGCAAGAGATACTAAAAAATTAAGTCAAATAATTATATAAGTGTGGCAGTGCACACCTATAATCCCAACACTCTGCTCTGGGAGGCTGAAGCAGAAGGATCAGAAGTTCAAGCCCAGCCTGGGCAATGTGGAGATCTCATGTGATCCTGTCTCAAAATAAAAACTAAAAAAAAAAGGGCTGGGGATTTAGCTCAGTGGTTCCACTGCCTGCCTCGAGAAAGTGCAGGGTCATGAGTTCAATCCCCAGTACCAAAGGTGGGGGCAGGGATGTAGCTCAATGCAAAGCCCCTGAGTTCAATCCCCAGAACTGAGGGGGTGAGAGCAAGGGGGTGTCAAATAATTACAAAGGGGAGACTCATGAAATCACTCATCCAGGCCAAGAAATACAACAGTGAAAAGAGCTGCTAACTTGACTTTTACAATAATCACTAACTTTTCTTTATCAAGCTATACCAAATAAGCATGCATTCCACAAATATGGTATATTAATTTTTAAGAACAGATTCCATGTAATATAATCAGCTAATAACTATTTTTTCTGTTACTTAATTTGATATTAAGTTTATGAGATTCAGCCACATTGTCACATAGCCTTAATTCACTAATTTTTGTGGTTGTATAAGTCACTATGGGAATGTTCCACTACCTATCCAGCCTATTATTGTCAGGTTCTTTCCTCATTTTAGCTATTACAAATACTACTGCTATGAAGATTTTCATAGTGTGCCTCTGGATGCACATGGATATATAAGTCACAAGATTGCTGGATCACAGGACATTAATTTGCTTTTTCTCTGATTTTCAGTGAGATTGAGTATCTTTTCACTATTTATGGACCATGTGGCAACCCTTGTTCATAAAGGACTATGCTATCTTAGTACAAATCTTTTTGCCTCTTTTCGACTGTCACTTTTCCTGGATATGAGTCTTTTGTAGGTTTTTATGTGTTATAGTTTCTCTTACTTTGGGGGTTGGCTTTTCACTCTTTATGTTATATTTTGATTAGATAAATGTACTGAAATGTTTCAACCTCTTCTGTCCCCATAATGGTTAGGATTTTTTCTACAAATGTTCTATTTAGGAAATCTTTCACATTTTCAAGTACATGAAGATATTCTCCTATCTATATTTAGTACTATGTGTTCTATTGGTTTCGTTTCCACATTTAAATCTATGATTCACCTAGAATTGACTGTTTTATATGAAGTAAGGTTGAGGCCAAGTTACTTTCTACTCAGTTACAGTTATCCCAGCAGTTTGTTTGAAAGCAAAACTCTTTCCCCATAGGTCTGCAGTGTCAACTTTGACATGTACTGTGTTCATATAAATGAAAATGAGTTTCTAACTGATTTACACTAATCTTGTTGCTATCTTTGGGAAATACAATAAAACTTTAAATAGAGTAGCTTTATAATACGCCTTTCTTGCAATCTACTAGACACTTCAAAGGTATTCTTGGATCTTAATTTTAGCATTTCTGAATTTCAACATCAGATTGTTAACATACAAAATGAAAACCATAAGAATGGTTATTAGATTGTAACAAATCCAAAGATCAGTTAGGGAAGACTGACACGTTAAGTCTCTTGATTCATTAACATGGCACATTCTTCCACTGATTTAGAACATGTTTAATTTCTCAACACTTTCTGTTACTATACAACAGTATAACACATTAAACAGGTCCAAAATGGTTAGGACGAGAAGTTTTTCAGATTTCAGAGTTCTTTAGGTTTTGGACTATTTGCATAGACTTTATGAGTTGAGCATCCCTACCCTGAAAAATCTGAAATCTGAAATGCTCCAAAGTGTCATATCACACAGCTCAAGTTTCAGATTTGGAAAGATTTCCGATTTCAGAACAGGGAAATGCTCAACTTGTATATTCAATTTTTCAATGTTTATTATGGAGAATTTAAAAAATACTTGAAAATATAATGAATGTCTGGGCATTCATTAGTTAATTTCAAATATTACCAATTCGTAGCCAATACTGTATCGATTCCCCCACCACTCCCCTACATTTTGAAGCAAATCCCAAATTTCATTTTTAATTTGTAAGTAAATCTCTAAGAGAAAGCACTCATTAAAAAAAGGCATGTAGTCTAAAAGAAACATATCAAACAATCCTCCAAATTAGCACAAAATATAGATGACATACAAAGACCTAACTATTCTCAGTGCTACTGCACACCTGCCTCCCAAGTGCAAGGTCCTGAGTTCAAGTCCCAGGACCAAAAACAAAAAGTGCCTGCCTGGCAAAGACCCAACTATTCGAAGGCACTGAAAAATGACCAAAAGCACACGAAAACAAACAATTTACTCATGAAAACCAGCAACTGCAAAGTCCCCAAACATGGTGGCTCCAACAGCATAAAACTAGTCTCACAGGCTGGAGATGACAGAAGACAGAAATCAAAGCCAAACAGAATTTGGAAATTTAAAGAGAAAATCCTGAAAGTTTAGAGAAAGACACAAGTGTGATAGCAAATCTGAACAAAAACGGCACAAATCCCTGCATGATCGCTAAATTACGAGTGCCTAGGGGAAACTGAGGGTGACAAACAAAAAGGCAGGCAGAAACCAGTAAGGTGTCCTTCTCTAAAAGAGGAAACTGAAAAATAAACAAAATAAAAATAAAAACTGAAAAAATGGAAATAAAGTGTTTGTAAATGGGGAGGGGAGGAGGGGGTGAAGGGAGGGCAGGGACAAGGGGAAAAAATGAGAATCAAGACCTATTATGTAAAGGTACAGAATCCCAATGATGAATGTAATTGTATTGTATACCTAGATTGTACCAATAAACTCAATAAAAATAAAAAAATAAAAAAAAATAAAGGAGGAAACTGCACCTGATAAGACTGGTAAATTTGCTGCTTGTTTGATTAAGTGAATTCCTCAATCTGTATATATAGGCTGAGTATCCCTTGTCAGAAATGAGTTTGGGTTTTGGATTGGCAGACTTGGGAATGGGAATATTTGTATTTACATGAGATGTGCCAAGGATGGGACCCAACTCTTAAGCAAAATATTTATGCTTTGAATATGCTTTTCTGGTGGGAAGAGATGCTGGAGATTGATCTCAGGGCCTCATATGAGCTAAACACATATAAGCCACTGAGCTAGTCACTAGTCCCTCATATTCACTTTCTATGAGTAATTTTATATATTTTCCATAATTTTGTGCATGAAACAAAGTTTCATGGCATGGAATTTTCTGGTTGTGTAGTTCTGTCAGTATTCAAAATGGTTCAGACTTTCAGATTTAGAGATACTCAACCTAAATGGATTAAGTAGCTAAGCATGGTGGCACATACCTATAATTACAGCACTTGGCTGAGCCAGGAGGACTGCCATGAGTTCGCGGCCAACCTAGCCTACATAGTGAGTTCAAGGCCAGTCTGAACCACATAGCAAGACCTGTCTTAAAAAACAAAAAAGAGCTGAGCGTGGTGGTGCACACCTGTAATCCCAGCACTGGGGAGGCTGAGGCAGGAAGATCCTGTGAGTTCAACACCAGCCCAGGCTACATAGTGAGTTCCAGGTCAGTCTCAAACGACATAGTGAGACCCTGTCTCAAAAAACAAAACAAAACAAAAAAAATTAATTTAAAAAAATAAATGGATTAAATATTCTTAATCTAGGGCCAGGGACTTAGCTCAGTGGTTCTACAGCCTGCCTCGGAAGCGCCAAGGTCCAAAGTTCGATCCCTGGTACAAAAAAACAAAAAACTATTATCTTTAATCTAAATAATTCTCAAATTTGAGTGGCACAAAACTTAAGACTTCCAGTTTGACATATCATAAGACAAATCTTAGGCCTGGTAAAACTCTTGCAATGTTTTATGAAAAACACTTAAGTACTAAATGTACTCAAAGTCTTAGGTGATCACTAAACTATGCATGTATAGGAAGACTCCAACGAGCCAACTCAAAAAGCAACAACTAGAAGCTTTAAAACAAACCTGAACAGAAATCAACTGCTTCACAGGCCAGGGATTTGGCTCAGTGGTTTCACTGTCTGCCTCACAAGTGCAAGGACCTGAGTTCAATCCCCAGTACCAAAAAAAAATCAACTGCTTCACAAATGAAGGACAACAGTTTGTACTGGTATCTAAGTAAGTTATATACATGCTAGCCACGACCATCATCACCATTTTCAGAATACAACTGAATCCAGAGTTACTACAATCTAATTTTCAAGTCTAACTTTCAACCACTACTTTAAAGATGTACAAAGAGAAAAAAAATAAAAATAAAAATAAAAATAAAAAAAATAAAAATAAAAAAGAGCAACTATACCACAAAGAAATGGAAACTATCTAGGTTTCAAGTGGGTCTAGATATCAGATGTCCCAAAGATTTCAGTTTTGTTATTGTAAGTATGTTCAAAGAATTAAAGAGGCAAATAACAGACTGGTGACAGCAAAACAATGAATCAGTGAAGCTGAGCAGGATGTAATCATAATCCCAGGAGGCTGAGGTAGGATGATCACAAGTTTGAGCTCAGACTGGGCAATTTAGCAACTAAGACCCTGACTTGAAACAAAAGGTTTTTTAAAAAATGGCAGGGGAAAGCCCGGTGTTGTGGCGCACACCTGTAATCCCAGCACTCGGGAGGCTGAGGCAGGAGGATCACTGTGAGATGAGACCAGCCTGGGATACATAGTGAGTTCCAGGTCAGTCTCAACTACATAGTGAGACCCTGTCTCAAAAAACAACAAACAAACAAACAAACAAAAAGGCAGGGGATATAGAGGCCCTGGGTTCAATTCTCAAAAGAGAGAGGAGAAGGGGGCGTGGGAGGGAGAGGGATCTGTAAATTTAAACCAGACACAGACATGGTGGTGCATGCCTGTAATCCCAGAACTCTGGAAACTGAGGCAGTAGGATCACTGTGAATCCAAGGTCAGACTGGGCTACCTAGTGAGTTCAAACCCAGCCTCTCTTAAAGAGAGAGGTGGGGGTGGGGAGAAGGAGGAGGAGGAGGAGAGAAAAGAGCAAGATCCCAGTACACACTATCTACAAAGGATCAACATCAAAATCAAAGGCATTTCGAGCATGGTAGCACAGGTCTGTAATCCTAGCACTTGGGAGACTGAGGCAGGAGTGAGTGCTCCAAGTTCAAGGCCAGCCTGCGCTATACAGCAAGAGCCTGTCTCAACAACAAAAAAAGAAAATCTAAGGAAGGACAGGGTAGGTAACTGAGTGCAGAGTATGTAATTAGCATGCATGAGGTCTTGGATTCAATTTCCAGCACCACAAAAATAATAGAGCCAGAGATTTAGCTCAGTGGTGCCACTGCCTGCCTCAAAAACACAAGGTCCCAAGTTTGAGTTTGATCCCAAGTACCAAAAAAAAAACAAAACAAAAAAAAAACCAACTTATAAATAACAGTAGTAATGAATAAAAGGCAAAAAATAGGTTGAAAGTAAAAGGACAAAAAAAAAAAAGAGAACACAAACATGACCATGAGAAAGCTTAAGAAAACCAGGCAAGGTGGCAAGTGCCTGTAGTGCCATTTACTCAGGAAGTTTAGGCAGAAGGACCACTTCAACACAGGAATTTGAAGTCAGCCTAGGCAGTGAAGAAAGACCCCACATCAAAAAAAAAAAAAAAAAAAAAAAAAAAAAAAAAAAAAAGTAAAACTAAAGAACAAAGAGACATTGGACATTAGGAGGATATAACCATTATACCAGACTAATCAGGATTTGAACCCTGATTCTGAAATGAACTTGTCCTGACCAAGCACCTTATTTCTGAGCTCTTATCTATAAATTAAGCTAATAGTCCAAATGAACTATTAAATGAGATACTATAAAGAGTCTCCCACTGGGGCACTGCAGCGCACACCTGTAATCCCAGAACTCGGGAGACTGAGACAGGAGGATCTCTGTGAATTGGAGAGCAGCCTGGGCTACATAATGAGTTCTAGGTCAGTCTCAAGTAGTAAGACCTTGTCTCAAAAAACCAAGAGTCTCCTATAGCACAGACCCATAGGAAGGACTGCTCTATCAAGGCCATTTTTGTTGAAGCATCAGAAAGCGTTTACAGTATCACAACATCAATCATACTGCTTTGCTTCATCACATGCATCAAGTTATTGGGTTTTTAACATTATTATAAATACAACTTTTGAGCCCTAAAACAGTCTTACCTCTGAGGCTGAGCTGGAGTATTTCTTGATTTGGTTCCCTCAACTTCCAGGGTGCAATAAGCATTTGATGAATTAGAATGTTCCATAAGATTTACTTTTTCTGCCTCTTTGTAGTAAGTGTTCTCAACTGTGGGAGACCAAAAATTAGCACTCAAATCCGAAGGAAAACCTACTTTGTTTATACATTGCATACATGTAACAAATTATCACACCTTATCCAATAAATATGTACAGTTATATTACAAAAATGTTTTAAAAAGAACTACTATGATACTCTCAAAATTTAAAGAACTCTAAAAAGGCTAGGGTGTGGCTCAGTGTAAAGGCCCTGGATTCAATCCCCAATACTTTAAAAAAAAAAAAAAAAAAAAAAAAAAAAAAA